TGCTGATAGGCATGGTGAGGTGCCAGTCGGACACAAAGGGCTCTGAAAATATGTGCATGAATTCAAGGAGTACATAGACAGGAAGGATGAAACTGAACAAGTGTTTAATTGTGATGAAACAGGGCCTGTTTTGGAAGAAAATGCCAAAGCAAGAACTACATTAATCAGGAGGAAAGGCTACTCCAGGGCATATGCCTATGAAAAAAAAAGGGAAAACAGGTTACTTTGTTGAGTGTGCACATGTAGTGGTGTGATTGCAAAGTTAAGCCTTTATTAGTGTTTATCACTCTGAAACTCCCAGAGCGTTCAGGCAAAAGAATGTCCTCAAGGATAATTTGTGTTGTGCTGTGGGAGGGCAAACATAAGGCATGGGTCTATAGGGACTTGTTCTATAACTGGGATTACCACAATGCATTTGCACCAATGTGAAAGATTACCTAACTGAAAGAAATTAGACTTAAGTGCCTCCTGAATCCCCCCCCCTGTTGTTAGACAATGCCCTGGTCATCCTAAGACGTGGCAGAGCGACTTTATGGGACAGAGCTTCCTTAAGGTGAAGTTTTTGACCTCCTATACCACTCCTCTCCTTGCAGCCCATGGTACCAGCAGGTTATGCAATACTTCAAAAAATACTGTACACAAAAAAGCTCTGTTTGGAAAGGTGACTTTGTAGTGACCTCAGAAACTCAACTGACTCTAAGAGAGTTTTGGAGAGAGACTTTAATATCTCAATTGTGTAAACCTTATAGGTAAAGGCTTGGGTGGGAGTGACTACGAAGAACCTTGACTCTGCTTGGAAGAAATATGTGGCCAGAATGTGTAGCAAAGGGATTTGAAGGGTTTGAGGCTTAACACTGAGAGGATTATGCTCACTTGAGGAATCCATTGTGGCATTGGAAAAGGCCCTTGGGGTTTGGAGGTTATGTGGGGAGGATGTGGAAGGGTGGTGGAGGAGGGACAATGGAAGAACTAACCTCTGATGAGTGATATATCAACTTCAAGAGCAAGAGGCCAGCCTGAGGAAAACTGGTTGTTCAGAGGAGGGGACAGGAGAGAGAAAATTGAAGAAGATTGCCTACTAACAAAGTTAAAAGAAATCTGTGCAACAGTGGCTTGAAGGTGCAAAACCTTCATGGATCGTGAAAAACACCCTCACACAGCTAATGCAAGCCGTTGTTGGCAACCTGTACACTGGACAATGTTGTGAAACTCTTTAGGAAGTAATAAAGGAACGAGAGGTAAGGGCCATATGGACAGTTTGTTGTGCGAAAGGAAAGTCCAGTGACTTTGAAGCTCGGTTTCCTAGTGCATTAAAAGAAGAAGGAAAGTAACCCAGAAAAAAGGACTCGACACCTCAAGTTTAATGGAAGGGGAATTCCCCTTCTAAACACTAACACTCTCTCTCCCCTCTCCCATCCCATCAATCATCACCAGATCTTCAATAAAAGTAAGTGTATGTAAGTGTGCATGGGCCTTTTCAGTTATGTGTGTATTTAAAGTAAACATTTCATGTTTTTTTTTATGGTTAAAAATTTTTTTTTTCATACTTTGGGAGTTTGCACGGATATTATTTTATTTCCATTATTTCTTATGGGGAAAATTCATTCACATACCGATTATTTGCATAACAATTACCCCTCTTGCCACGGATTAAAATCGTTATTGACGGGGTCCACTCGTCTATATACTCAATAATTATGCGGTCTTCAAATCAAGCAGCGGAGAAAGTGGTAGGCCAACATGTGAGAGAATGGGTCTGTGTGTGTCAGTGTGCACTGTAATAAAGAAATTCCTGCAGCACGCAAATGCAGTAAGAGAAAAAAAACTCCCCGAACGTGTTTTTGGATTAAAACGCCGACTTTGGGTGTTTTGCGTTTAATATTTTATGGTCATTTCTCATTTCATGGGTCTAATTTGTAGAATGGAAAAACGTATTACAGATAATTGAGGATGATTTTGATTAGTTTCACAATGAATAAACCTTGAAATGAGCTCAAAGTAGCATGAAATGTTCGATTTTTACAATGTTCAAGAGTAAAGCAAATCACACCACACGTACAAACACATTTCAAACTGGAGTCTAATATTCTTTCACTAGTGCACTGATATTATTTATACCATTTTTACTATAATGCAGTTGTCTGCCTAACAGTAAATCTTCTGTTTTTTTTGTGTGAATAAAAAATCAAAATAGAAGCAAGAGTAATAAAAAGAGGGCCTGGAGATGTGACTAATGAACAGGGATATGTTATTTTAGTGACTAGAATGTCTGCATTGTTTATTCTGGACCCTACTTTGAAATTGGATCCTTTTAATTTGCGTGGAATTTGGCCAAATTGCCATTTCTGACCACTTTATTGGGTAGTTGAAATCAGAAAATGGGCAGTTTCTTGTGCTCAAATTGATAGAAAGATGGGATCAAAGGAAATTAGCTTGAGTTTTGGTTCACCGAAACAATAGTATTTAGCCGACAATAAGGGCTCAAGTCGGAGAAATCACCGATGGTAATAAATCGCCAAAGATCGCTTAACTTCGCTGGAGTGTAATTCCGTTAGTGTTCGATTCAAATTTTGTACTTTTTGGTGCCATTAGCTCGTGGGAAAGATTCTCTATCATTTCATAAGAAAAATATAATTTTTTAGCCAGCCTTAAACGGAAATGGGACTTGCAAACAGTCAAAGGGTTAAACACAGTCACAAAATAAAAAGCAAAAACAAAATATCAGCAAACAGCACGATGCACGGTGTGAAGATTACAAGCGCTGAGACACAACTGACGCATGCACTTTGGCTGCCGGTGCCGGGTCACATCGCCACGTGGCAGGCATCATTGGGAGTTTATGTAGGGGAAGGACTGACTGGCTCCACACTCCACGAAAAACTTAAGTTTTTGGAAACTTTTCAAATTTCAGAATTTCAGATTAAAAGGGAATGTGGACCTGTACCACTACATTAGCAAATCTCTAGACAGTATTTTAGCCATTCCAATTTAAATTCAGAGATAACTGGATGAATTTTATCAGTTCATGCTGGGTGTAATTGCTGCAACATGAAATGTTTTATTTTAGGAACTTGTTTAGCCATTCTTTGGCTTAATGCCTTAACATTTGTCAAAACTGCTGAACTGTCAAACTCTTGCAACATAGTCAGAAGACAAGAATATCTGCCAATTTTAGACATTATGGCAATCTAGACATTTTGTTTAAACTGAAAGCATCACTGATACTATCACTGAACCATATATGGTTGAGAATGACCCAGAATGAATGCCAGGAGTTGCATACATTGAGTTGCCACTCCTGTATTAACAGGCAACCTCTACTAGTATTTCTGACAAAATTATTTAATTTGTATTGGGTAGCATGACAGCCATCATGGCATTGTCACTGGTGTTTATGCTAAGAACCATATCATCTCTTATCCCTCCAGAGAAAAATTTTGACTGGGGAAAATATTTCTAAAAAAATTCTTGGCTCTTAACCCGTAAACGGTCCAAACGTATATATACATTTTTTCAACATTTAAAAGTATGTAAAAAAAAGTAGATCTTCTTTTTTATTTTTTACATTTGAAAATGTGTAAAAAAACTTTGATCTACTTTTTTTTTGTTCATTTGAAAATATGTTAAAAAAAACGTAATTACTTTTGTAGCACTACACATGTGAAACGTAGATCTGCTTTGGTCCGTTATGGGTTAATCCCAGATTGGCATGTGGAAGAGAAGTTCTCATTTGCAATCCTCACACCCCATCCTTCCCACATGAAATGTAATGTAGCATCTGGGGTTAAAAAAAGCCTCTAAATATGGTGCAATCATCCCTTCCCTTATGAACTGTTGTGAGAGAATGGTTTTATATAAACTGTGCTGCAGCAGTAAAAGACAGAGCATAATGGAAAAATGGGTCAATTATCAAGCCATCAAAAACCAATTTTCAGGTGTTCCACACTTTCAATTGAGCCATTCTTCATTTAGTTTGTTGCTTTACACTGACAGCCATTATCGCCATTTTCGTACATCAGTTGATAAGGGAAGGACGACCAGACCAATTTAGAGCTGTATAAACAGAGCCCTCCTGTAAACCAAATGGGACACTGCAACAAGATCCAACAGGGCTTTACTGTTTACAGTCAAGAATTTTCTAGTCTTACAGGTGCAGTAAACCCAGCAAAAATTACAGGGCAACCTCAGTACTCGAACAGCTTCCATATTGGGAACAGCTCCAATACTCGAACAATTTGGTATTTGCAACACTTTAATTGAGCGTGTTTGGTAAACAAGTTGACTCGGTAGGTAAACTGTTTGCTTGACACTCAACAAACACAACCTGCAGAGCGTCATAAAACTATTTTCGTGTTTCTTTGCATTTTTTATATTTATATAAACAGTCACCATGGGATTAATAGTTGGTAGTGTAACAGCCACCAATAAGAAATTGTGGGAAAAATTCGATTTTGTACTCGAGCAGATGCACTTTGAACAGACTTCTGGAACAAATTAAGTTCTAGTAATGAAGGTTCATGTAAAATCAGCAGTACTGTATTTAGTAAATGAAGCACAAAAAACTAACAATATCCAAAAACCCATCCTTTAAAGTGCAGGAATTGTACTTCCCATTTCGGATCACTGTTCTGGCTATCAGTTTCCCCAAAGAATCCTCTCAGACAAAATATATCCTTGCTCAAACTCCTCAGCTCATTCAGGTCCCCAAAAACCATTCATCTCTAATCACATCCAATCTAATATGCTCTCAACACATTGCTGGAAGTCCAATGACCCTCGCCACTAACTTCTTTACCCCCCACCCCTCCACCTTTTCAAGGACGACCCCTACCCCGCCTTTCTTCCCTAATGATTTATATGCTCTCCAAGTCATTCTTTCATTGTTCCAGTCTTCTAAAGGACCAAACCACCATATGGTCCTTAATTTTTTGCCCTGCAGGGTATACAATTTAGTGTACGTCACCGGTTGCCGCTCCCAACATCCATGGACAATCTTGTCATTAAACAAGTGCTTGTTGTTGTTGATTGATCGAGCATATATGCTTTTGTTCCGGGGGGAATCCACTAACCATCAATCTGTGGATCTGTAAAGAGCAATATTTAGGTGAATACAAATAGGAAGTAAATCTATCTTGCATTCACACAGTAATGTGTGGGTGTGGCTTATTTTTCAATGTACATTATGCATTCTCAAGAAAAAATGTAATAGTAAAGACAAATGATTTTATTTTTGTAAATAAAAACTATGGAAGCCACATAAATAAAGCTTCATAAAGTACAATATTATATGGACAAATATATTTGTCAAGGTTTTTAACACCCATGGTAAAAGGAGTCTTACTCAGGAAACTCTCAAGTGATTTTCAGCACTGTATGATCCTGGTGGGCTTAGCACTTAGTGTGGCTTTTAATAATAATATAAGTGATTTCATAGAAACAGTTTGTACAATGGTCCTGAGGGCACATAAATGTTGAAGGCATGCATTAATGGCACCTGGAGTTTACCTATAGAGAGTTATGGGGGTCAACGCCCCCTTGGCCCGGTTTGTGACCAGGCGTCATGGTGGATCAAGCCTGTTCAACAGGCTGTTAATGCTGCTGCACGCAATCCAACGTATGAACCACAGCGACTGGTTCAGGTACCAACTTCAGGTGCTTGTACTGTACTGTACATTAACCCTTTCAGGGTCAAGGCCCAAATCTGGAATCACGCACCAGTGTCAAGAATTTAAAAAAAATAATATTTGTTATTTTTTCTTATGAAAAGGTAGAGAATCTTTTTGTGAGGTAATAAAAACAAAAAGTACGAAAATTTGGTGAAAATTGACGGAATATTATACTCTCGGCAAATTTTGATGTCATCGAGAATTACGAATCGGCGTTTTGGCCGACTTTGACTCCCATTTTAGTGCCCATTACATTATTCCAATCAACCAATCTTAAGCCTATTTCACTAGTATTACTTCTATTCTATCGATTGAGCACAAAGAATCGCCAAGTCAACTGTGTTTTCAACTACAAAATAAAAGTGATCGGAAATTGTTAATTTGGCCAAATTCTAACACAAAGTTCAAATATTCCAATTTCAAAAATAGGGTCCAGAATCAAAACATGTAGAGCATTCCGGCACTAAACTAAAACATTTCCTTGTTCATTAGTTATGGTTTTGAGGTTTAAAATTAATTTCATTTGATTTTTTATTACATAATGAATTTTATTCACACAAAAACATAGAAGATTTACTGTTATGCAATACTGTAATAATGTATAATATTCATACCATAATTGAGAATGTATATTAGGACCCACAGCTGTTGTGAATTAGGACGTGAGAGGTCGTATGATTATTTGAATATTTTTAAAAATTAAATTCCCCCTGAAAATATACACCCCCCACTTTTTTTTTTTTCTTCTGGCAAAAATTAACATTTCCGCTACTTTGAGCTCATTTTCAAGACATTTCAGTTGCTAAAACCAATCAAATATCTCTATTTCTGTAATATGTTTCATTCTTTCAAAGGAGACCAAAAAATCGCCAATAACATTTATAAAAAAAAACATCGATAAAAACACTGCAAGTTGCTGTTGTAATCGAAAAATCATGATTTCAGTTTTTTTCTCTCATTATACACAGTGTGCTGCAGGATCTGTTTTATGTGGTGCACACATACCACATAGATGTATTCTTCATATTCTAGGCCCAAATGTACCACTCAACAGTTAATCAGAGTGGAGTGAGCTCATGGCGTAGATCTACGGTTTGGACACTCACCGTAAAGCCGTAGATCTATGGGATGGACCCTGAAAGGGTTAAGCAGATTTTCACTTAGGTTAATACAATACTGTAGGGTCAGTGTAATTTATTTCTACTGGGATTCTTAACCCTTAATCTGTCCAAACGTAGATCTACATCTTCGCTGCAGAGCTCCAAATATTTTGAAAAAAAAAAAAATAATTAAAGAGGGCAATTTTCTGTGTGTTATAAGACCCCCCCCAAAAAAAATAGAACCAGTACTTACCAAGATATAAGACCGCGAAGTTGGTGCTGGATGCTAACCTGACAGCAACATGGAGTCCTGCCGCTTGCGATACTCAAAGGCAGTTCAAGTACTGCTCCATTTGAGTATCAAACAAGTTCTTCCCAACCAATTTTCTGTTTAGTTGGCTGTTATCACTAATCATTGTTTGACCCATGGTGACTTATTTATACAATTACATATCATAAAAAATGCAAATTAATAATGAATAGCTTACAGCGATGTTCTGGCAGGTTGTATTTGTTTGATGAGTGCTGAGCTTTGTCGAGTAGGGAGTTGGTGTATACCGCAGGTTCCACTGTACTGAAGGGCCCTGCTTTACGGCGTTCCTTTAATATGGAATTCAAATTATGACCAAAACTCGCTTTACGGCTCCCCAACCCACTTGAACTTTCTAATATGCGTCACCGCGCCCCACGGTATGTTTACATTCTCCATGAGCTCCGTAACTCCAAGTCTCTCTATTATGTCTGGAAACTCCAAAATTTCAAGTGTTTTTAAAAGTTAATTTTCATATTTTATATGTTACTCTTGATATTATAACTTTACACAAATAACCGTACATAAAAGCTGAGAAGCTTACGGCACGTTTCGGTCCGACTTGGACCATTTACAAAGTCGCACTAAACAGAAGTGGAGCAGGACGGCTATATATAGGCAGAAGAGGGGTGGTAGTAGTAGTAGTTAGTACAAGAATGGTAATAATACCAACAAGATGATTAAGACATGTACATAAAATAAACTTACACAATGTTTGGCATGCAGGTACACACTAAAAATCAGTAAAGTGTCATATGCCTCAAAATGTCATATTTAGTAATGATAATAAGTGGACACCGCCATAACGATATTAATCCTTCCTGAGAGCTCAATGTTTTTGCGAAATTATCGTTATGCAATTAATTTTCCCATAAGAATAATGGTAATCAAATTAATCGTCCTGACACCCAAAAGTACGAAAAAAATTTTTTTAACCACAATGGAATATTAATTTTAATACACAACAAACTGAAGAAGACTTGCACAGTTACATTGGACACTTACCTTTATTGAAGATCTGGTGATGATTGATGGGATGGGGAGGAGTAGAGATGGTCTTAGTGTTAGAAGGGGAATCCCCTTCATTAAGACGTGTGTCAAGTTCCTTTCGGGGTTACTCCCTTCTTCTTTTATGCACTAGGACCAGCTTCGAGTCGCTGGACTTCTGTCGCACAACATTCTGTTCCCAGAGGTCTATACCTCTTTAATTCTTTTGACTTTCATAAAGTGGTTCACAAACATGGTCAGGTAATAGTCACCAGCACGGCTTGCAACAGCTGTCTGAGGTGCTTTTCATCCATGAAGGTTTGACTTTAAGCCATTGCACAGCATTTTCCGTTAATCTTAGAAGCAGGCAACTTGTTCAATTTCTCTCTCCCCTCCTACCCGAAGCAGTTTCCTCAGGTGTGGCCTCGTGCTGATGAAGATCGATCTAGCAGCTCATCAGTGGTTAGTTCGTCATTTTCCTCCTCCACAAACTCTTCCAATCCTCCACACTAAGCTCCAACCCAAGGGGACTTTCCAATGCCACAATGGATTCTCAATGGCATTAGGATTCCCAGGGTTAGCCTTCAAACCCTTAAAATCCTTTGGTCTACACTTTGGCTCACAGTTTTTCCAGCAGAGTTCGAGGTCCTCTTAGTCACTCCCTCCCAAGCCTTACCTATAGTTTGCACAATTGAGGATATTAAAGTGCTCTCTCCAAAAACTCTCTTAGAGTCAATTGAGTTTCTGAGGTCACTACAACACCTTTCGAACCAGAGCTTTTGTGTACAGTTGTTGAAGTTCTGCAATTAACTGCTGGTCCATGGGCTGCAGGAGAGGAGTGGTATTAAGAGGCATAACTTGACCTTATTGAAGCTCATGTCCCACAAAGTTCGCTTCTGCCAAGTCTGTAGGATGACCAGGGGCCATTGCTAACACAGGAGGCACTTAAGGTCTAATTTCTTTTCAGTCTAGATAATTTTTCACAATGGGGGCAAATGCTTGGTGTAACCAGTTCATTAGAAAAGTCCCTAGTGACCATGCCTTACTGTTTGCCCTTACAGAACACACAAATTGCCTTGAGGTATAGTCTTTTGCCTGAACGCTCTGGGAGTGTTTCTGAGTGATACACTATAAACGCTTCACTTTGCAATCACCAATAGCATTGCCACATGAGAAGAGTAGGCTGTCTTTCCTAGGCTTATGTCCTGGGAGTGCCTTTTCCGCACTGAGTAATGTAGGTACTGCTTGGCATTTCTTCAACAAAAAGGCCTTGTTTCGTCACATTAAAACACTTGGCAGGTTTTTTTGTTTTTCCAGTCCTTCACGTCTATGTACTCCTTGAAATTCCTGCACATCATTTTCAGCTGCTCTGTGGTCCGAACTGGCAGACCTCACCATGCAGTATCACACTATGTATGCCACTAACGCTTCTTAAATCTCTAATCCAACCTTTGATGGCCTTAAATTCACTACATCATCAATAGTTGCATGCTTTTTTAATTAAATTCCTCATGCTTCTCTCCTTGCCTTTCATTTTTGATCGTTGAGTGATGCTATCTCCTGCTATCTGTTTTTTCGTTTATCCACACCAAATAAGAGTTCTCATAATCTTTATCACTTGCGATCTATGTTTCGAAACAACACACTTGAACCTTTGCAAGAACGCTTCTGATTGTGTTTTCTTGGGACACAATAGTAGCGATGTTGATTGGGGTTTTATATACAACCGGCCGTCGGAGCACAACGTACTCCATTTCATACTTAGCAATGATCTCTTTCGTCATCTCTATAGTAAATCTCACCCTTATTCTGTAGGGTTGGCACTAGAAGCTTTCTGGGGCCCAATGGTCACTTATTTGCAGATAATAAATCACCAAAACGCAGTACTAATACAAAAATGTTCCAATTGTATGCTTGGATGTTACGCGGAGGCTGGCTGGGAAACTATGCCACTGCCAGAGCATGTGAGGAGGGTCAGGGCCGCACTTTAGATGCATCTCAGACGGAATAGCGTTGAGCGG